TATTATTATTCTTTTACATATGTGAAATTTTTCTATAATACAAGGTTTTAAAAATGAGACAGTGTATATAAAATACCTCGCACAGTGCCTGGCAAGTAGCATGAAATAATGACATTAAGATTTTCACCTAAGTCTTGCACTGCTGTCTGTTCCGTTGGGCAAAATTTTCTCAGTTTGCCTGGTTTATTTTGTGGCTATACAGCAATACCCAGGACTCATGTAACTCTATCAAGAAAGATCAACTGGGCTAAATAACCTTAGAACCTGGCTTTCACTCAGGCTATGCCAGAGCTTTTTTATTATATTAATAATTTCCTCACAATTAGGTTTGGCTTAGAAGGAGACTGTTACCAGAATGAAACCATACCTGCCAACACTAAAGTGGACATAATTTTTAATGTTTATTCTCTAGGATTCTTCACTTTTTAACACCTAGAGTTTTCTTAAGGCAATCCAGTACTATATAGAAGATATTAACTGGCTTTCGGATTTCTTTAAAAAAAATAGAAAGAAAAGAAAAGAAAGGAAAGGAAAGAAAGGAAGGAAGAAAAGAAAGGAAGGAAGGAAGGAAGGGAGGGAAGGAAGGAAAGGACGGAAGGAAGGAAGGAAGGAAGGAAGGAAGGAAGGAAGGAAGGAAGGAAGGAAGGAAGGAAGGAAGAAAGAAAGAAAGAAAGAAAGAAAGAAAGAAAGAAAATAAATCTATATGGCTGGCCTAAGCTCATTTATAAAATCATCTAAAAATAATGAAAGCATTTACTAGGATGATAGATCAATGCAATCTTTAATTCCCTCACCACATTTCAGCCTATAACCAGCCCAAGGGAGAAAAATAAGACCTACTGTTTGACTTGGCCAACCATTGAGACACGGGCAGACTCCAGATTTCGAATCTGGCCACTCTTCACACTAGGAAAGAAAAGTGAGAAAAAAGAGAGGTTATTTAACATCTATTTGATCACATCACTAGAATCAAATAATTAATTCTACAGATTATGTGGGACCTAATAAAAAGCAGCGGTCACCAATGTTGCTTACTATGCAGATTATCGCTACTC